GCTTGGGATGAAAAGAAGCACCCCAAGGAGCGCCAGGACATGATATGCAAGAGAAAATGCAGAAGGAGGTGGAGTGGGGACAATGGGGGACAGATGGTACCCTCACGTTTTGCGGTCAATCATATCAACAAGATGAAGATGGTACAATCCATGTACATGCACAAGAGTGCATTGACAACATGAGCACCTACAAGGTCAGCCGTGAACGAGGGAAGGATAACACTGCAACCTTGACCTCAGCTGAAACAAAAGCCTTCCGAGGTTTACTTGGTCAGCTCCAATGGTATGGCAGAATCATGGGCTATGCCATCGGTTTTCAGGTCAGCAAGTTGGCAAGTGAGATAAAAGACCTCCGAATTTCAAGTCTCAAGGACGCAGCAAAGCTAGTCCGTGACGTCAAGCAGTACCACAAGAAGGAAGAGCTTGTGTTCAGACCAGGAATGCCCTGGCAGTCAGGCAACATATCGGTAGTGGCAGTTCATGATGCTTCATTCAACAACCTTCCAGGTCACAACCCCAAACAGTTTTCTGTTAGGGGTTCTCAATTCTTTCTTAAGATGTGTCCGCCCTTTGTGTCACTACTGGTGTCCGCCCATTTCCACTGACCATGTAGCATCATTTGTCTCCCAGGTCTGTCTTCATTTGTCTCCCACGTCTGTCACTGCTGGTGTCCGCCCTTTTCCGCTGGCGATGCAACATTTCTATTCATTTGTCTCCCAGGTCTCACTTGCGGTGTCCGCCTGTCCGCCCTTTTCCGCTGGCGATGCAACATTTCTATTCATTTGCTTCCCACGCAGCATTTCTGTTCATTTGTCTCCCAGGCCTGTCACTGGTGTCCGCCCTTTTCTGCTGGCCATGTAGCGTTTCTATTGATTTGTCTGCCACATCTGTCACTGCTGGTGTCCGCCCTTTTCGGCTGGCCATGTAGCATTTCTATTCATTTGTCTCCCAGGTCTGTCACTGGCGTTGTCCGCCCTTTTCCGTTGGCCATGCAGCATTTCTATTCATTTGTTTCCCAGGTCTGTCACTGCTGGTGTGCGCCCTTTTCCGCGGGCGATGTTCGTTTGTCTCCCAGGTCTGTCACTGGTGGTGTCCGCCCTTTTCCGCTGTTTCTATTCATTTGTC